TTTTTCCTTCAACTTCAACATCAGATTGCTCCTTCATTTTGAGTCCAAATTAGGTGCTTCAAAAGGCAAACTTCAAGAGAATTTCGAGGGGAATCTAGCGGTGATCTCAAAAACGCGAGGAGAGGCTTCGTTTGAGGTAAGGAATTGATTTTAGCCACTGCCAGGGTGATTTCCGGATTGTATTGTTGTTCTGGGTTACGGGTTGGCTTACCTACTGGTGGGTTATAGTAGGTGCCATCATGACTTGAGGAATCGGGTCGTGACAGTAATGCTACCTCGTGATGTCTATTTGAGAAAGAAATATTTGGGCAATTATTAGGTGGAGATGCTTCTGAATTTACTCTCTCAATGTTGTCCTTGCTACGACTCTTATTTAGTTCTTTTTTCGATGTCTAGAAACCATGAAAACATCCTAGAAGAAATTGTTATCCTGATAATATTCTTGTATGTCATACTTCTCTGCCTAACACTCAGAAAATGAGATTGGCTGATGCCCTCTTAGATCTTGCTCTCCATACTAACTGAGCCTATTTTCTGATTTTACTACAGAAGTGTATCCATTGGTGCAAACACTTTCACAAACTTCTCTGATTATGGTGGTATCTTATCATATTTATTAAGTGAACTCCTTAACCCTTGTTGCAGGTGAGTTCAACTGTGAGATTGAAAAAGATGGAAAGGTCCTGATTCGAGGGGTGACATCAACTGGTGGAAGAACCGTTTCAAGATATTCTCAGGTCTTTGATATGAAAATCCAGCAACAATGTCCATGAGGAGCTTTCACTGTCTCCTTTAGTTTGCCCTGGGCCTGTCGATCCAAGGTTGTTTTCACCAAATTTCAGATCTGAGGGCATTTTTTAGGCTGTTGTGGTGAAGTACGACCCGGTAGGTCATGTGAACAACCATTTAAGCCAGACCCACCACAGAAAGCTCTTCTCAGTGGAGCCAATGTGCTGTGTGTACTAAACTTGTAGATAATGTTTTACCATGTAAATAGAGACAATTACAGTTCAAATGATTCCCTATTTTGTTTTGGATCACCAAAATAGCACTGAAAACTGAGGATAGTCAAGACAGGAAGTTGGAACCTAGTTTTCTGAAATCCACTTGCTAAGATTTTGTTTTTTTCATGGATAATGAAATCTACTTGAGCTTTGTCTTAAAATTAGGGTAGTGAAAATTGTGCTTAAATGGTGTTGAAATTGTGCTTAAATGGTGCTGAAATTGTGTTGAAAGGGTGCTGAAAATGAACTAATTTATAGCTGCATTAGCTGCTGAAAAACAGCCAAAATGCACCTATTTCGCACGCAATTGCTGCTGCATTATGTGCTGAAATGCAGTCAATATAGCACTGAAATGATTTTGTTTTGGATCACCAAAATAGCACTGAAAACTAAGGATAGTAAAGACAGGAAGTTGGAACCTAGTTTTCTGGTTTTTTTCTTTTTGTCATGATAGGAACCTATTGTCCTGAAATCCACTTGCTAAATTGGAACCTAGTTTTCTGAAGATAAGCGAAAAGGCATATTGTCCAAAATTGCTTCTTGTTTTGTTCTGCGAAAGCTGTCTTCTTCAGAATGCTGTTAGAAGAAAATAAATGAAAAGAAAAATTACACATGGACACTTCCAGCGGTATGTATAACATGAAAAGGTTGAAACTTGAAACTCAGTAAGGTTCTTTTCTTTGGAAGTTATTATCCCATAATTTTCCATTTTTCTCTTAAAATTTTTGTTGCTCGGATCTAACACTTTTTGCTTTGTTATCACTTATCTGATACAGGTTGCAAAGGGTTTTGGTCTAGAGTTCATTCTTTTATATATCAGGTAGATTTCCTTACATTTTAGCCTTGATAAAGAAGCTGATAAAGTCTCTGGCGGATTGACCAATGAAGAGCATTTGTGTTCTTCTTTGTTTTAATTTTTTGCTTTATGGCTTTCTTATCCTATAATCTGTTTCTTGTGCTGAAAGGGTGCTGAAAATGAACTAATTTATAGCTGCTGAAAAAACAGCCGAAATGCACCTATTTCGCACGAAATTGCTGCTGCATTATGTGCTGAAATGCAGCCAATATAGCACTGAAAACTGAGGATAGTAGAGACAGGAAGTTGGAACTTCGTTTTCTGGTTTTTTTTTTGTCATGATAGGAACCTGTTGTCCTGTAATCCACTTGCTAAATTGGTCCAAATGAAGACATAATACACTTTAGATGATTTTTTCCCCATGATTGGAACCTAATTTCTAAAGAAAAAAATATATTTAAAAGAGCGTTTCATATGGTCCAAGATTGGTTGTTGATTTATTCTGAGGAGGCTGTCTTCTACAGGATGTTGTTGGAAGAAAATAAACGAAAAGTAGAAATGGATTTGTTGTGTGAAGAAATGGAAAAAATCATTTAATGAGTCCCACTAGTTTTTGGCTTACCTAGAAAAATAGTAGAGAAAATGGTCTAAACCCCAACCTATACCCAAAATCCCAACTTCACGGGTGCTTTATCACCCCCTAAACATTTTATTTGTCTATTTACTACACACTTGAGTGCTGCCCTGTCCACATAGACCAAATAAATTGTCTCGCGTGTTTGCACGCACGGGTCCCCACCCACTTCAACCCCCAATTCTTGTTTTTTTCTCCATTTCCCTCCTAAAAACGTTAGAAACCCCAAAGAGAAGCTTTTCATCTCCTTCTCTCCATTTGAATCAAAGCATTTTTGTGTGTATTTTCAACTTGATTACGTAGTTTATCAACTGATTTAGTGAAGGTTAGTTCTTTGTCCCTTATTTCGAGTTTGTGCTTTATTAGGGTTTCTGTTAATTCGTTAAATTAAGAGCAACATTGTGTGAAATATTATGTCTGATTCATCCATACAAAGCGTATTCAAGTTTTCATTCACCATTTTTAACGAATTTCAAGTAAATTCAAAATTCAAATTAGAGACTCTAAATAAGAAATTAGAGCAGATTACAAGATTTAAAGTAGAAATGAAAATAAAAAACTAAAACCTACCTTAAATTGAAATAAAATCGTGAAATTTTTAAAAAAGGAACAAGGGTTAATGGTGGGAAAGAAGGAAAAATGGTTTATTTAACTTGGGGAAGATGACCGTTGGAGAAGTACACTTTTTTTCGTCAAAATTTAAGGCTATTGCCTCTTCTCACTCGCCTAGAGGAGGTGTTCTCACCTCCTATGACAGGTCAGCACTCAAGTGTGTAGTAAATAGACAAATAATATGTTAGGGGGGTGATAGGACACCCGTAAAGTTGGAGTGTGTAGTTGGGATTTCGGGTATAGGTTGGGTGGGGGGGGGGGGGGGGAGGTTTTTAGGACCGATTTTCTCAAAAATAGTATTGGCATTTAGTAGTATGATGTCATGTCCAAAGAAAGATGCATTACAGATTCAAACAGCCTAATGGCAGCAGAGATGTGTGTTCTCATCTTAAGGTTGATTTGTAACGTCAGACCTAGCTGGAACACTGCTTTTCCATGTCCTCATCAGCTCCTGTAAGAATAAGGAGACACTCACTTTGAGTGAATTCTGCTCTTTTCTCCTTCAGTTCACTGGGGGTTCGTTTGGTTCGCGAACAAAGTTATCACAGGATTATAGTTTTGGATTATAATCCTGGGACTAATTTATCCTGGGGATGCTGACAATTGTGCTTAAATGGTGCTGAAAATGAACTAATTTATAGCTGCTGAAGGAACAGCCAAAATGCACCTATTTTGCAGGCTTTTATGTGCTGGAATGCAGCCAAAAGCACCTGCACAGCTTTAAACTAATTTCTTATGGAGGATTCGACACATAACCAGAAGAGGAGTTGGAGCAACATAGCTTAAAACTAATTTCTTTATATATCTTTTCAGAGTCTTGGGGGTTAGTCTTGTGGGAGAAAATGGAATTGTTGTATGATGAAATAGAAAAATAAATTTAATGAGTACTACTAGTGTTTGGTTTACCTAGTAGTTTCATCTTGTGTCCTAATAAAGATACATAACAGATTGAAGCAGCTAAATGGAGGAAGAAGAGATGTCTGTTTTTATTCGATGTGGCAATTTATAACGTCAGTCCTAGCTGGAACACCTGCTTTCCCATGCCCTCATCAGCTGCTACAAGGCACCTCACTTGACACTCTTCTTTGTGTGAATCCTTCTTTGAAGAAGTCGACGGATATATTTCCTCAAGGTCAGTTCACTTTGTAGTAACCAAGTTACACTCAAATGGTGTTGCTGTCGTCTCATTAGAATGATTGCCCGCCCAAGTTGTCTGATTCTGCCAGTTTCTGTTGCAGTTTATATAGTGTAACTTAGTGCTGAATTTTGTTTGTTAAGTTAATTACTTGATTATGGATCATTCAATGAAATTCTTGATAAATTAGTTGCCCATACTTGATTATGTAAGCCATATTTCCAGAACAACTAAAAATAATTGAAAACTAGATATGTTTTGTTAACTTTCAGTCTTCACAATGGTTGATTGATGAGTTGTTGTTTTTTAACATTTGAAATTGAGTTAATTAGATTAAATACCCATTTTCTAACATAAACAATCAACAAATAACGTACGATCGATCGATGTCATCATGTGGACCAATAATATGGTTTTTCTTTTTCAAGAAGAGTAGTGAGGGAAAGCAAATGAATTAAACCTTCAACTGAAAATGAGATTGTAGTATTTCAAATTTGATTTTTGAGCAAAGCAAATGTTGAAATTCCCGAGGATATGCCAGAATTAGTGATCAAGAAATTAAAGGAGAAACATTGTCCAAAAGAAGTGATAAAGAGATTCAAACATATTTTTCAAAACGTTCAATTTATTATATTCAAAGAATTACTTATATAATAAAAACAAAAGAGAAAGTATATAAATATAATACTACTATCGAGTAATCCCCACACATATCTAGCTTCTTGAGATGCATAGAAAAATACAATGGGATCTTCTGTCTTCCTGCACATATAGCTTTTGTCTTGTTCCCTTATCTTTGGACATGACCAGTTTGACATATCTTTTCAAAATCAATTGTTTAAGGTTTAGCAATCCCATGTTTTAGTTTGTTGGAAATTATAGATGAACATTTCATTTGGTTGCTGATAATTAGAGTTATACATGTATAAGTAATATAGAGTTTCATACATAAATAACTATCGATCAAACGACTTGTTATTGTTTATTAATTGTATCCTAAGTAAAATCATAACAACTAAGAGAAACAGCTGCGCTAAGTAATAAAACTTGGCCCTCCTAATTAATTTATTAGCTTAGACCGGCTAGGTAGCTTTAAATTTTAATTTCATTTCCTCTTTTTGTTCAAGAAACCATACCATATGTAGGTTAATAATTAATTAAAAAAGATAAATCACATAGCTAATTTTTCTTTTTTTCTAGATGTAGGTAGAGAAAAAGCAAAGTTGGACTCGTCAAAGGCTAATCATTGGGAATGATTCTTAACTAACGCCCACATTGCTTTTATGCACATTATCAAAGAAAGAGGGGACCTTTGAAGCTAGCTCGACCTGCCTTCACCATACTACCAACTTATACTATTATGTTGCTAACTTTTGATCTCTTTGTTTGGGATAACTTATTTATATCATAGTGATGGGATAAGTTATCCCTGAATAATTAATCATGGGATAGCTTATTTCCAACCAAACGGAACCAACAAAATAAGAAATTAAAAGGTGTGATTTGGATGTGGATGAGAGTAGATTTCTTGTTAAATGGTTTTCCTTGCAATCTACTGATCCTTTTAATAAAGCACAAAAAAAAAAAGCAGATCATTCCCATCACCAAGATTCACTTTGATGTTTATTCCCCTTAGCTACTTTTGTCTACATATATATATGTTACCTCTCTTGCAAATTGTTTTATCCATTATTCTTCTTCCTTTGTGCCATTTTCCAGCACACACACACTACTTCCTCACTCTATCATTCCACCTTGTTTGTTGCTTAATTAGTCACTCCATCGATCATGAACATGGAGGTTTGTACACTCACTTATCATCTTTCTAATTTCCAGTTGTTCCTTTACAATATATCAAAGGTCGATTCGATCCAATAATATTTAGTACCTAACACATTAGACACTTGAAATTACTAATATTTTTGAGTTTGTTTTGTGGCATGCAGACAGTTGAATTGAAGGTAGAGATGGTTGGAATACATGAGAAAAGAGTGAGGAAATGTCTCTCTAAATTAAAAGGTAATCATTAATTATATATTAAATATGTTATAATTAAATTTGAGATATTGATATGTGTTTAATTATGATGCAGGAATAGATAAAGTAGAAGTGGAAGGGAAGAGTGAGAAAGTGGTTGTGATGGGGTATGCACACAAAAACAGAATACTAAAAGCAATAAGGAGAAGTGGTCTTAAAGCTGATTTTTGGTCACCTCAAAATGAACTTCTTCAAGCTTACGCTGCTTCTTACTCTTCTAATTTCACTTTTAACAAATTCTCCTTCTTTAATTGAATGAATACCAAATTTGTTCTCTTAATTAATTTCCTCAACATAGTGTATACAATGGAAGAGTTTTCGATTCAGTTTGATGCATGTACTCTTTGTTACATAATCTTGTAGGTGGATGATCAGTTCTTGAGTAATTTGTGAAAGATTTTAAGTAATGCATGCATTTGGATTTGCACAATATATAAAAACACATAATAAGGTCTTTCACTCTGTAGACATTGAAATTTTGTTGGACTCTGTTAAAATATGTATTCAATTCCAATTAGAATTCTTGGAGGCTAAACCCTAAACCCTACTTCATGCCTATATAAAGGGTACTATATTCCCTTGGAAAGATATCTCAATATATTCCATAAAATTTATGGAATATTCATATAGAGATCAAATCTAAATCATCCTAGTTCGAGAAATACGCTACTAACGGCCTCGAATCGTGGATAAATCTTAGGAGAGTAGAATCAAGGGAGGAACAGAATTGTACCCGCAATCTTTATCAATGAAGTTGTGTTTCTTCTTATTTTATTGTGATTGCAATTTATTTTCTTTCACTTTAAAATTTGTTACAAACACACTCGTCAAAAGATCAAACTAATGTTAGAATGATCAAACTCAAAATCTTTAATTAACGATTCTAACTTTATTTAAAATTAAAAGTATTTGAAGACGAAACAGTGATGAGTAGATTTCATTGTTGGACGTGACACATTTTATAGTCAAAATTTCTGTATAATGAGATATTGTAGGACAAAATAATATTATAAAAATATATATAATAAAGTGAATAAGGTATAACATAACATAAAAACTTGATTTTAATATTTTGTTCAATACGTGAGAGCAACGAGTAATGGGATAGTGGCTCCCATGATCGATAAATAAATGATTAATTAATTAGCACCCAAGAAACATGGTTTTTAGATCTTCAAAAAAACTTATAAAGAATTTACTATTAATTTTACATTATCACTTTTAAATTGTAAATACTACTCTAACAAGTTGTTTTTAATGTTGTTGATTCATCAGTTATGTGATAAGGTTATTTTTAATTCATTATAAAATGATAACACAAACTTATGAGTAATTTTAATTATTATTACTTTTTTAGAATTTATGGGTATAAATTATATGTTTTTTTTTGTTGAAAAAAATGAAGTATTTCTTCCAAAATCTAGACATTATAAAAGTTCACCCAAAAATAACTTACCAAAAAATACTACCTTCGTTCACTTTTAATTGTTATAGTTTTCTTTTTGGGAAAATGCATAAGTACCCCAACTTATGCTCGAAATTCCAGAGACACACTTATACTATACTAAGGTCCTATTACCCTCAAACTTATTTTATAAATAATTTTTTATCCATTTTTAACCTAAGTGACATGATAATTAAAAGTGGATAGCGAAAGTAATTAAAAATTTATAGTGAAACGCTAGGTAAATAAGTTTGAAAAAATTGATAATGTAAATTATTTGGAATACAATAGAGCAAATCTATCCATAAAATGGGGGTGAGCAGGTCAAGTAGTACTACTGTGTTGTCGTTCCGAAAGAGGAAAAACTTTGTTAGATTTTGGGGAAACGTAGGAGTAGCAGTATAGTAGGGGGAAGAAAAATGCATCTGAGCGAAAACGAAGGGATAGAAAACTACAGTTTCGTGGTTACAGGTGGACTGGGCTTTATAGGCGCCGCACTTTGTCTTGAACTGGTCAGAAGGGGTGCTCGTCTTGTTAAAGCATTTGATCTTAGAACCCATTCTCCTTGGTCATCTCAACTCACTCAATATGGGGTTCACCTCATCCAAGGTATCCCCTTTTCGACATTTCCTCTTCTTTGATTAAAACAGTCAACTTTTGTCATTCAATTTGGAAATTCACATTTTGTATTGGGTTGACTGATGATTCTTGCTCAAAATATTCCCCCTTTCTGTTTGCTTCTCTATTTATCCTGTAATTCAACATTGGTTTCATTTGGCGGACTAAAATCCCAATTACGATCTATACAAGTAACAAAAGGATCATGAGTTAGTGCTTTATTTGGTGAGACATATATAGTTGATTCATTGATTGATTATTAAGGAATTTGTCTGTGTTTAGAAATTGATAACTAGTTTATAGTCCTCTTGTTATGATTGCGGAAACTGATGATACAGTATTTACACCGAGTCCTTTCTGCAGCTACTCAATTTGCTTGGTTTTCAAATTTCAGGGGATATAACAAACAAACAACATGTCCAGAAAGCGCTACGAGGGTCAGATTGTGTTTTCCATCTTGCTTCCTATGGCATGTCGGGGAAAGAGATGCTCCAATATAGTCGTGTTGATGAGGTTAATATTAATGGAACCTGCCACATTATTGATGCTTGCCTTGACCATCAGATTAAGAGGCTTGTGTATGTCAGCACACCTAATGTTGTTTATGGTGGTAAGGAAATTGTTAATGGCAATGAGAATCTACCTTATTTCCCAATAGATGACCATGTTGATCCATATGGACGAAGCAAATCCATTGCTGAACAATTGGTCCTAAAGAGTAACGGTCGTCCCTTCACGTAAGTTATCTTTACAGGAACATTTCATTCACAATCCACCGTAATATATCCTGCAAATGTATGCTATAGAGAGCTTTACTCCCTCTTTATACAATGTAATAGAAACTAGACATATAAGGCATCCCCTTTCCCTTAGATGCATTATAAGTTTTGACTCTTTTTTATATTTCCCTCAGGATTGACCTATCATGCTGTACCATATGCTACATACTATAGAAAATAGCTAGATGTCTAGACTGAATAGTTGCATTTGCAAGATTGTTTTTAACTGGAAGATAAGTTTCCTTTTGATAGAAAAAACAAAATGAGCAAAATCTCATCGGCTTTCCTTTGCCAGTGCAAACATTTTTTAATCAGTTTCTGCTAGTGCAAACATGTATGACAAAAAGCTGCCAAAACCCTTTGTAGTGATGCTAGTAACCCCTCAATAGCTGTTTGGCCTTTTCAGGCCTGTGTGTGTATACGTATATTTATGATTGTTCACAGCAAGAACTGCTACTTGATGTTGTATTGACATAATTTATATGGTTGCTTTCTCTCTTCTCGGCATGTATGTTCATTGCACAGTAAGAAGAATGGCAAATGCCTTTACACCTGCGCAATTCGTCCAGCTGCTATATATGGTCCAGGTGAAGAAAGGCACCTGCCGAGGATCATAACTCTTACAAAGCTAGGTCTGTTTCCCTTTAAAATCGGTTCACCAAATGTAAAATCAGATTGGGTGTACGTCGACGATCTTGTATTGGCGCTTTTATTGGCTAGCATGGGACTTTTGGATGACATCCCTGGCAGAGAAGGGCTTCCAATTGCTGCTGGTCAACCTTATTTTATATCAGATGGTAAATACTCGTTGGCTTATATTTGTTGTGTAGGAATGTGGAATCTTGTTTCGGACCAAGTAGAGGTGTAATTACTAATTTCTAATTAAGATTATTTTTTTAGGATTCTCCAAAGACCTAAGAATCTAATTGCTTATCAGAGTAAAAAATGTTTCTATAAGCAGAGCAGTTTTTACTTGTTACTTACTGCATGTCTGCATCACCTTCCTTCATCAATGATCTTCTGTTGCAGGTTCTCCCATCAACAGTTTCGAGTTCCTTCGCCCTTTACTGAAAAGCCTGGATTATGATCTACCAAAGACATCACTAGCTGTCTCTCATGCTCTTCTTCTGGGAAAAATTTTCTGGGCTTTCTACTCCTTTCTGTATCCTTGGTTGAATAGTAGGTGGCTTCCTCAACCTCTGATCCTTCCTACTGAAGTCTACAAGGTTAGTGCTTCATATTTGAATCTATTTTTGCTTCTTTTATTCAAATGAATAGGCTTCACTGGCATTATCAAAAACCAGTTTTATATACTACATATCTTTCCACCGGCTTTTACTCAGTTTATGACATTTCTTACTACTGTGGAATTGGATAATATATCTATAACTCGTGCATATCTACTTGGGCAAATGTACCAGATTCTTTTTTCTTTTTGTTACGAAGATGGTCTTTATTGGTCAAAAACTGTCAAATGGTTAAATACCTTAATTGTTTGACCTTGCATCAAGACTTGTTCCCTTAAGTCAGTACTTCTCCTTGTTCACACCTGTATTGACACCAGACGTTCAATTTTGTCCAGCAATAGTGAACTCTCTCTGGTCATGGACACAACATTTTTCTCTACAATTGTATAAGAGGTAGAATTCTAGTTGATATTTGGTTTTCTGCTTGTGCTAGGTTGGTGTCACTCATTACTTTTCTTTCCTAAAAGCAAAAGAGGAACTTGGGTACGTCCCAATGGTGAGTTCTAAGGAGGGCATGGCTGCAACTATTGCATATTGGCAAGAAAGAAAACGGAGGAGTTTGGACGGACCTACAATATGGGCATGGCTGTTTTGTGTGATTGGAATGTCGGCGCTGTTTGCTGCTGCATATCTGCCCGACTATGGACCCATTCCCTTTATTAGAGCAGTTCACCTCTTCTTCTTTCGCTCTATGTTGGCATTGAAAGTGATTTTTGTTCTAGCGGCTGCTGCACACGTAGGTGAAGCTATATATGCATGGAATGTTGCAAAAACAATAGATCCTGCAAATGCAAGAGGGTGGTTTTGGCAGACATTTGCTTTGGGGATATTTTCCCTACGATTACTTCTGAAGAGAGCTAAAAAGTAGGATTACCATATTTCTTACTTGTCTCTTAACTATGAAGCATGTAATTGCAATCACATCAAAGTTGAGACATAATGACAACTTGTCAGTACTCAAGTTTTTTCTCCTTGTTTTTGGTCTCAGCAAACTATCTTTGTTTTTTTGGTATAATAAACGAGTTCAACTTCTCATCCTGATCTTGTACTCGTTGATTCCTTGCATCTCTTGGAAAGGATTGTCCGCATCAAACAAGATGTTTTATTGTAAACCACTGCATTACTTGACCAACCTAGCTCTACGTAGTGCAGTGGCTAACCGCTTAATTGATGCGATGCGGTCAATCCTGTCCAGAGGTGCATTACGAGGTGCGTCTCTGACCAGCCGGACACGAACTTCCTCCTCGATGAAGCCATAGATC